AAAAAAAAAAAAAAAAGGGAAAAAAAAGGTGCGGAGCTCCCGTGTGGGTGTGCGTGGGGAATAAAAAAACCAAACCCTCTTCGTCCCGCCGGGAAATCCTTTTCCCGCTGTTCCGGAGCAGCCCGAGCGCTGCCGCCACAACCCCCACGGGCCGGCACACGGTGGGGTGGGGGGATGTTGTACGGCTGGGACCCCCCGGGGAGCCCCGGGCGAGGTGGGGGGCGGGTGGGCACCGAAGCCCGTGGGGTGGGTCGGCGCCTTCCGGGGCTGCGGCGCTGCCACGCGTGGTCCCCGGCGGCTGTCGGGGCGGTGCGTGGCCCCCGCCGAGGCGGCCGGCCGGCGTTTATTAAAACCCTTGTGTTTTTTGTTTCTTTTTCTTTTTCTTTTTTTTTTTTTCTGCTGATTTGGTATTTTGTTTTGTTTTGTACCTTTAGTTTCATTTAACATCAGTTCCTTACACTGTGTAGCTGTTACCAACACGCAGATGAGAGGCAATTCTGCAAGAAGACTTCTTGAAGCTTTCTGTATGGATCTCTGTCATCCCTATCTAAATTGTCATCTGGATTGTGGAAGAAAAAAAGTAGACAAGGTTTATTTGTGGCTTTTTGAATTTCTTGGTTATGTAAATTCAGCATCACAGCAGCTGACTGAAAGTGGCTGAAATTTTTGATTTAAATAATGGCTTTTTTGTCATGCACCATAAGAAACAGAGTAGTTCTCTGGAGGCACTTTGTAACATACAGGTGGCACAAAAAGGACAGGAAGTTGCCTTCTAATCTCTTAAAAAATTCATTATTTTTGATTGGTGTCAAAATGATGAGGTTTAGAGCCCTCAGAGGAATCCAGAGTCCCAGCTTCCTTACAGGTATAACTACGGATGTTTTCAGAGCTAATACAAACATCTAAACTTTTTTTGGATTTTGCTAAGCGATTGGCTTCACTGATAACTTGTGGCAATGAGTTCTGCAGGTTAATTATGCATTTAATTGGTTTCAAATTTGTTGCTTTTCAATTTCACTGTTCACTGAATATCTCCTCGGTCTTGTGTTATGAGAAGGAGTAAATAAGAGAGAGAGCCTGACTCACCTTCTCTGAACATTTAATTATTTTGTATACCTTTATCATGTACGTACAGAGAGAACTTCTGATGGCTTTGGTCTTTATCTCCAGGTTCTTTCTTCTCAGAAGCTTTTTGCTGTAGTGACCAGAGCTCTGGGAGGGTCTGGGTTGGTTTTTTTTCAGTCTATGTCAAGTAACAGCATCTTGGTGTGATGCCATCCTCTCCCCTTTTCTTCATAAATCTCTTTCTGTTTTTACTCAGCTGTTTTTACACATGGGACAAGTTTTTATTGACATGCCTGCAGGAATACTGAAGTCTTTCTTTGGGGCTTTACAAACAGAATAAAAATGCTTCACGTGGCTGGTGTGGGCTTTTGCTTCCAACTTGTATCATTTTCCACTCATCCTCACGGATCCTGCCTGTCCTCAGGCTGCCTGATCCTTGGACCTTAAATAGCTTCTTGTCAGGTTAGAATCATAGAATCAAAGAATCATCTAGGTTGGAAGGGACCTTCAAGATCATCTAGTCCAACCATCAACCTAACT